TCTAATAACATACAATTATGATTATTCTGATTATAGAGATATTCTAATACTCCTCCGCAGTTGAAGCGGGAGGTGGATGAACGTTGAGATTGTCTCTGAAGTCTTGAAAAAGTATAAGGGGAAGTCCTTTGGTAAAAATGTCTGCAATTTGATGTTTGGAGAGTACGTGAGAACCCGAACTTGACCCCGAGCGACCTTTTCACGTAAAAAATGCATGTCCATCTCGATGTGTTTCGTTCGTTGATGCTAAACCGGATTATCTGAGAGATAAATGACACTGACTTTGTCACAATATACCATGGTTGCCTTATGAATAGGACAATGTAGTTTAAGCAGAAGGTTTCGTAACCAGCAGGATTTAGATACCACATTGGCTACTCCACAGCATTCTGCCTCGGCGCTGGATCCGACGGAGAGCATGCATATGAGGGTCCATCAGCTTATGCATAAAGAGACAAATTTGTTGTATCGCATAGGAGATATCAGGTCGAATGAAGGTAAGATACTGAAAGGCACCTGCAAGACTACGGTAGAGGGATGAATCCTCGTATGAGACATTTTGTGTGGCACTCATCTTGGGTTTTGTATCAACTGGAGTTTGACAAGTTTTGTAGGAAGACATGCCAACCCGTGAGAGGATATCTTCAGCATATTTCTTTTGTGGGAGGAATACGCCATGCTTATGGCAAGTGATTACAATATCCAAGAAGTAGTTGAGATGTCCTAAGTCTTTCATAGCAAACTCGGAGCTGAGGAGAGATATGATGGACTGCGAGATATGATAGACTGCTGCAAAGTATAAGATGAGGTGGCGAGGATGATGTCATTTACATAAAGTAAGAGATAGGCTAGATGAGAGTCTTTCTTGTAGATAGGCTAGATGATAGAAACCAATTGATGAAGCATAGTCGGCAAACCTCTTGTACCAAGCTCTAGGGGCTTGCTTAAGCCCATATAGTGATTTCCGAAGACGACATACATGATCAGGATGTTTGGAGTCTCGGAATCCTAATGGTTGGTACATATACATTGTTTCTTTGAGTTCACCGTGGAGAAATGCATTATTGACATCCAACTGATGAATATGCCAAGATTTTGAAATGACAAGGCTGAGAACAATGCGAATGGTAGGTGGTTTGACAACTGGGCTGAAGATTTCTTCACAATCAATGACAACCTGTTGACCTGCACCATCACCTACAAGTCGGGCTTTATGCCTCTCAAATGAACCGTCAGATTTTTCTTTGTGTCTAAAAATCCACATAGATCGAATAACATTAATACCAGGTGGTCGTGGCACTAAATCCTATCTCTCATTTTTAATTAAAGCATTATATTCATCATGCATGGCCATTTTCCAATTAGGGTCCTTGAGTGCAGACACAATTTTTAAGGAGAGGGGATTTTGTGACATAAGTGTGTAGGCTGTAGTATTTTTGGTTTGACTTAAAGATGTCGTGTTGACTTCTAGTGATGAATTTTGTGTTGGCTTGGGAGGTAGGTTGGTAGATGGGAGGAAGATTATTTAGGAGAGTGTGATTTGATTGTATTGAGAGAGGTGATGGGTGGAAGGTTTGGGTGTATTCGGCAAAGTTTAGGTGTGGGCTGAAGTAAGGGAAGTGGTTGGAGTGGGAGAAGAGATCGATGTAATGGATGGAGAGTTGTTTTGGTTTTAGGTTGTAATATAGTTGATGAGGTAAGGGGATAAGTCATTATCTAGAAAGTTGTAGGTGACAGATTGATGGGTGTGCAGTTTTGTATATAGGAAGGTAGACTCGTCAAATAATACATGACAACAAATGATAGTTTTGTTTGTTGTCATACCTAGAAACTTATAACCACGATGGTTGGACGAATACTCAAGAAATATATATGATGTGGAGTGTGGTTAAAGTTTGTGGTTAATACATGATAAAAATAGGAAAAAACATAAACAACCAAAGACACTTAAATAAGAGTAGGACGGGTTCTTGTTGTATAACATGTGTAAGGATGACCAAAAATTAGTTCGTTTATTGGGCAAAATGTTGAAAATATATATGACCATTTTTAGAGCATAGCGCCAAAATGAAAGTGGTATGAATGCATGAATTAGAAATAAATGGTCACTTTCCCATACTTTGAATAACCAATCACTTTTTGATGTTTGTATGATTTAGAAATAAGTTGGTGTTAGCTCAATATATGGATTGCAACATTGAAATTATATATACATATTTTTTAAAATTGTGAAAAAAAATTAGTTTAACCATGTGCACATTGAAAAATATTTTAATAAATAGTGTTATTTATATAAATAAAAAAAAAATTATTATTGATTTAAATATTTTTATAAATAATATTAAAATAAAAATAATATTTATATATAAAAAAAAGTTTACTGTTGATTCAAAGGATATTAATTTCGTCTATAAATTTTTTAGTACAATTTTAGTAAAACAACAACTTATAATCGTGAACAAATACGCCTATCAGACCAGAACCCTAGCGCACGCACAAATTTTTTACTAATTTTTATTAAAGATATAATCGATGTTCTTAGTTATTATTTCAATTAATTAAAGATTTTATTCTTTTTTATTTATTTATATTAAGAAAAATAGAATCAAATAAAATGACAGACAATTTATATGATAGGATAAACAAATAAATAAATTAGGAAATTATAGTATATTTAATATTAGATTATAATGTACTATCTCATAGGTAGTTGTTTAATATTATAAGTAAAGAAAATCAAAATCTATGTGATTTGGGATACCAAACTGTCAGATATTAGATTAAATGGGAAAATCAATATTTTACTACTATCAATATTGCATTGCCAACATAAGCTGCTATTAGTTTGTCTCACACTGGATTGTCAATTTCAATAAGCAGAGTTTCTTCACCAGTCTATCTTATACAGTTGATCTTTCTTTTTAAAACGACAAACATTGTGCTCTTATCATAAGCTATAGTTTGTATAAAATAAAAAACTATCATTTGGTGTGAAAAAGCATTGAATAAGCTATATTTTACTCAATCACCTTATCACAGGCTGCAATCTCATGAATTTTTCCCATAGTGCCTTTGTAGGATTACCTTTAGTTCTAAGCCTTTAACTCTTGTTGATCTCATCATTATATCGTTCCATCTCTGTCACATTGTTGATGAACTTAAACCTATTGTGATGCTTATTTTCCTCTTCATCCCCTTTAAGACAAATCAATGCATGATCTGATATGACAGGTTCAAGCACATGAATTGCCTTGTTACTCTTTTGTTGCATTCAATCAATGTTTCTAATGACTCTATCAATTCTCAAGTAAATAACACCATCAATATGCTTTTTAAACCAAGTATACTTGTCCCCTTTACTTTCTACTTCCATCATCCCTCTAAGTTCCAAAAATTCAACCTCTTTGACAAGCTTGCCTCCAACTCTATCCTCTGTGGTAAGAACATTGTTGAAATCTCCTATAATACTCCAAGGCCCTTATTGACTTTGTCTTATATCCACTATATCCTTCCATAGACTTCTTCTCTCAACAAGGTTATTATAAGCATATATAGTAGTGATCTAGTTTATGAACTTCCCATCCAAGGTGTACACACCACAATGAATTAGTTGGTATGCACTAATTATTTCTTTCACATCAGTTCTATATTCATCTCAGAGAACCCAGATTTTTCCCATTGCCATAATTCTTATAATTGTCAATAACATTCCAATGACTACTAAGTATCTTTCTATTTTTCTCAGCATGAGTTTTTTTCATTCTAGTTTCTAACAGGATAGCAATCTAAGGGTTGAGCTTGGAGAGATGTGAGTTAATCTCTCTACCCTTTGCTACCTTGTTCAACCCCTTACATTCCAAGAAACTATCATTTGTCCACTGATGGATTCATTTTAGGGTCCTTCCAAATATCTCGTTCCTTGTAATACATCTCGAGTAACCTGACAAAATTCCAGGCCTTGATCATGTAGTTCTTCACTGCATTCATGCTCAAATTGGCTCCAATCACATGTATAATCAATGCCGCTTCCCAATACCTAACCTCTGATTCAACATCTTCTTCCTCAATTTCCATTTCCACCATTGCATGCACAATTTTCGGCGCCACAAATTAAATCGTCATTCCATTGATAGTGTTTCTATTACTCCGAATGACATAAACCCACAACTTCAGATAGATAGATAGATGTAAAAACAATGGATAATATTCATCCTAGATCAAAAGTTTAGATGTAAAAACAATGGATAACATTAATACTAGATTAAAAATTTGTCACATTTACAACACTTGAACCACCAATCATTTTTTATATTTATATAATATTATTTAGAAATAAGTTGTTCTCAGTACAATATATGGATTGCAACATTGGAATTATATATACATATGTAGTTTTATTTTTCAAAGTTGAGGAAAAGTTTTACTTTAAACATAAAACATGTGCATACTGAAAAATATTTTAATAAATAATATTATTTTTTTAAGTGAAAAAAAAATTAATTCAAATATTTTTATAAACAATATTAAAACAAAAATTCAATGATTCAAATGATATTAATTTTTCTTATATAATTTTTTTTTAGTACAACCTCCTATAACCGTGAACGAAATGCACATACTAGAGGTGCACATATTTGTTACTAGTAGTTTTTATTAAGGATAGAATCGATCTTCTTAATTTTCAATTAATGGAGGATTTTGGCCTATTCTTTTTTTATATCATTCATCTGTATTGCTTCTGTTCTTCTTATTTAGTTCTTCTTGATTTTATTTAAAAAATAGAATCAAATAAAAATGACAGACAAAAAATAGGAAATTATAGTATATTAATAAACACAACAAAAAAATTGATCAAGGTTTTAAGTGTTGATTTTGTAATTTAATTTAAAAACAATAATAAAGTACACCTTCAACATTGGAGAAGAGAGTGTTTAGAGTAAACACCCGATTCACTGGTGCGTGGTGTAGCACTAGGGTTAGGGTTTCTTTCGGAATTTCACATGGCTGGCACCGGCATCCACCATTACCACCAACAATGGCCACCGGCCGCCGCTCCTCCTCCTCCACCTACCGCCGCTCCTTCTCCTTCCTCCGAAGAGGTAACTTAACTTCCCTTCACTCTTATTTATTTTCAAAATCAAATCTATTATCAAACATGTAATGCAATTTCGTTCGATGCGTTTAGGTTCGAACTATATTCATAACGGGACTTCCAGAAGATGTGAAAGAGAGAGAAATTCAGAACCTACTTCGATGGTTACCTGGTTTTGAAGCTTCTCAGTTGAACTTCAAAGCTGAGAAACCTATGGGTTTTGCTCTTTTCAGTTCTTCTCGTCAAGCGATTGCTGCCAAAGACATTCTTCAGGAGATGCTGTTCGATCATGAATCCAAGTCTGTTCTTCACACTGAGATGGCAAAGAAAAATCTGTTTGTTAAAAGAGGTCATTCAGTTCAATTGAATTTTCATTTAATCTCACTACAAGTTTGTGTTTAGAATGAAGATGATTTTGACGAAATCACGGTGGCACAGCCGTGATTATGCCAAATTAATTGCACATTTCTGTGTAAATTGCATGGAAATGTTACTTATTTTGAATTTTTGTTTGAATAGGAGCTGATACAAATGCTTTTGATCAAAGTAAGCGGTTACGAACAGCAGGGGATTATACACATACTGCTTATGTAACCCCATCTCCTTTTCATCCTCCACCACCGCCTGTTTGGGGACCACACGGGTAAACTATCACTAACACTGCCTATACGTGCTTGTTTGTCTATATAGTTATCATATATAAGAATAGTTTTACAAATATAAACTATATCCTAGCAGAATTTATACAAATCGCAATTGTTCTGCAACATGCTTGGCAGTACAAAATGTTGTCATATAGAAGCTATAGCACTGTTATGTAGCAGAATTTGAACAAACCATTGGGATCCGCGATTGGCAACATTGATAACAGTTTTCTTTTGGTTGTTCCTCCATATTATTAACTGTAAGTTTGTTTTTGTGGTCTAGATATATGGCACCACCTCCTCCTCCTCCTTATGATCCATATGCAGGCTATCCTGTTGCACCAGTACCAATGCCTGCTTCAGTTTCTATAGCTGCGCCTAGCAGTTATGTTCCAGTTCAGGTGAGAGTGGCTTATAAACTGTTAGTGCTACTTTGGTTCCACTTATCTTTCTGTCAATTTTTATATCATTACCCTTTGCGTCAAGTGTTGGGCTCCTATTTTTTAAATAGGGAAGGTGAGATTTTTGAATATTATGATAGCTATATGAGGTCTACAATGTTTGCTTATTTAGTTTCTCCTTTTGTTTAAGAGGGCTTGATCTCTGTTCTCGTTGGTATATAGTATTACTATGTTACTGTTAGAAATTGATGAAGTTATGTATCTGCATTTTACTGCTCTCCCGAATTGTTCTGAAGTCTTGATTGGGCTTGGAAAAGTTCTAAAATTGTATCTCAAAGGGAATATGGAAGATGAAGAATTTTCCTTTGATTTGATCTGATGTGTTGTTGACTTAATTGTTATATTCAGCTTGGGTTTAGAATCATATTTTAGAGATTTCATCAGTATTTTAATTGTCTATGAAACCAATGTTAAAGTAATGAATACCTTTACATTGCTGAATGAATGTTTAAATCTGTTAGGTACACCCTACTGGAAAAGATATGATGTTTAAAGGGTAGTGTAGAAGTTTTATTTGTTCCATTTAGATTCATAGCTGATTTTACCTTAGCTACTATCATGCAAAGATGTTGTTTTCTCCCCATTGTCTAATCTTTTTGGTGTTTAATTTTTATCAATTCCGCTGGATTGATTTTGTCTGTTTATTAATAAATGGTTTTTATGCCTCCCTTAATATTGTTTATCAATGATAGACAGGTAATGCAATGTGCTAACTTGAAATATTCTTCTGTACAGAACACTAAAGATAATCCTCCTTGCAACACCCTGTTTATTGGGAACTTGGGAGAGAACATTAATGAGGAAGAAGTGAGGGGCCTTTTCACTGTGTATGTGCATCTTATCCTTTCACACAGGCTCTACTGTTATATCAATGTAGTATTTTCTATGCTGTCTCAAGTATGTGATTAATCTGTTGAACTTGGCTTTCTAATGCAGACAACCTGGTTTTAAGCAAATGAAGATTTTAAGGCAGGAGAGGCATACAGTCTGTTTCATTGAGTTTGAAGTCTGTAAACTTTTGTTCATATTTGTCATTTTTATTGTATTGCGTTTTTATTGTCAGTAAACTTTTGTTCATATTTGTCATCTTATTGCGTTTTTATTGTTCAAAATTTCCTCATTTTGGTATCCAATCCTCTTGCAGGATGTGAATAGTGCTACAAATGTGCACCACAATCTACAGGGTGCTGTTATCCCAAGTTCTGGTTCAATTGGCATGCGGATACAATATCCTTTTTTACTGTCAAGCATGCGAATATTTGTTTTCTTGGTTTTTCTTTTAACTCTCATGTTCATTCCTATTCATCATGTATGTTTGCTTTGGTCTCTTAATGTGCTTTTCAACAATGATACTGAAACCATGAGTTTCTTTTGTTTGGTTTTTCAATGGGTTTTCTTGAAATTTGTAATTGTTTTCATACATTTCCCGACCATATAATCTGATATGAATACAGCTGCCAAAAAAAGCAGGTATCCGTAAATTCAGGGCTCAAGCTTCATATTTGTTGACTGATGATTATTGCTACCATCCCTTGCCTCTCAATATGTATTCAACAAACACTCATACTTTGCATTTAATTTGGTATAAAATTTGTTGTGATTTCTCCCTTCTGTTGTAAGCAAGGAATTCTTTTGTACTTTTCTTGACTTCTTAGCAGATATTCCAAAAATCCATTTGGGAAAAGAAAAGATGGGAATGCCCCTATTGCTGTTTCTCCTGGTGGCAACGGAGCCCCAGTAGCAATGGCTTATCAGTAGCTTGAAGGGGATGTACTCTGTTCTTTATGCTCCAACCAATATGACTACATAATAGGATGCATCTTGCAGCTGTTACATGCATCCATTGATTATCAAGTCATCGCCATTATCATCCCTGCTCATGTTAATGAATGCACAGTGGCATCATACATTCATTTGCCTATGTTATACTAATCAGACATGCATTTCTTGGCAGCATGTGTTGGTTCCCAAAATAACTTTTATAGATGTTAGATGATCTTATCATTTGTAGAAGCTGTGCATGGGTCTTAATGTTGTTTTTATTGTGTTCCTTATGGTCATTAGACTTTCTGTATACATTGGTATTAGGAATGTTTATCCAAGCAGGCATTGGCATCTGTTTCCACCTTTAGGTTCATGTGTTGTTTATTTGACATGACATCTTATTATGATGCTTGCTTTGTTTTCATGACACAGTTTGGCTAAGTATGGAGAAATTAGGATATCACATCAATGATCCTGCTACACTTTCCATTCATTACAATTGTCATTTGCACCGCATTTTGTCTCCTCTTATTAAAATTTTTGGTTTTTGTGAACTGGGTGCATATTTTAGATGATAAAATATGGTTATAATTGGTGATTAAGAAATTAATGGTTGAGATTGTCATAAATATGTAATTAACTATGAAGTTCTTTAAATTCATTTTTAAATTGCCGGATATAAACGTGTATTTTGTCTTCTAAAGTACTACACTCCCATGCTTTGGACTTTTAAAAGAGTTTTTGTTTGTTTAAACTACATCCATCCTGGCATTCATTAGTCCATTTGATCAGAGCATCAGTGTTAAAGTTAGAAGTGTCTAAAGGAATCATCGGAGTTATATATTGTCTGATTTATACAGGGTTGCAACATGACAAAGCTTCATTTCATAATGGAAAGTCCATTACTGCTACTCTGCCATATGTTGCAGGTGATTTTTGTTTGCACGGGTAAGGTATCTACCATCAAATTTGGTTGGAACATCTGTTGGATATCACGTGAAGCAGCAATTGAATTATAGATTCCATGTGGCTGAGTTTCTGATGAACAGTATATGTTAGTTCTATGCGAGAACTGAATGTCTATACTGTGTCAAATTTTATATATGTAGAAAAATTATTAGTAGGCTAATTACTAAAACTAGTGGATAATGGGGTAATTCTGGGATCCTCATCCTGCTATCAATTCTTTTTAAGTTTTTGCTTTGAACTCTTCAGCTCGCACACCATTCATTAAGAGTGAAAATAGTTCTAAAAAGTGAGACTGCATGTTATAAAAAGTGTTGGTTTATTTAAGTAAATATAAATAATTTTACTGTTATTATTATCCTGTATTTTGTATTTAAAATGATTTCTTTAAAAAAATTTATCAACCTATATGTTTTTTGTATATTCAAACTTTATTATTGAAAAATGATATATGATATAATAATAGTGATACTTTTTTTTGATGTAAAAATGACATGTTAGATATTATAATGATATTTAATCTCATTTGGATATTAATTTATTAGTTAAATATAAGTTTGAGTGTTGGTTTAAATACGTTTTGTAGGGAATAAGTCTTTTTAATAGGTTAATAGGATATAAGATATTTGAACAAACTAGGTTTTGGTTTAAAATTGGGAAATTGCTAATCTCATCTTAAATGGTGGGAAAATATTGTATGAAAATTTGAAAATGCTCATTTGATTTTGTAAATACATCTCTGACTGAATGTACTTTGTGTCTCATTGAATTACGTATCAATTAGGTCTTATTTCATATTTATTTTGTAAATGTATTTTCGGAACATTTCATATTTATTTTGTAAATGTATTTTCGGAACAACTCCATTGTATATCTCCATGTATTTCTCAGTGAGACGTTTTCTTTTATATAAATTATTTTGGACATGCATCTCCGTATTCATTTCAGATAAAATTCGGAGATGCATTTTCAAAACTACAATAGATGTTAATTTTTTACTTTATTTTAAAGATGTTTTGATAAATCTAACAATATATTATAGCGATAATATCATTTTTATTTTGTATAAATTAAACCACACGCTTTCAAAATAATATATGAAAGTGACATAATTAAGTTAATAAATTTAGAGTACACAATGAATTCAAAATAAAATAAAACCAAAAAGAACTCATAATACAAATATCATATATTATTACATTCAAAATAAAATAAAACCAAAAAGAACTCATAATACAAATATCATATATTATTACATATGACGCGCTCGAGCCACTTGTTTCTACGTTGCCTTCTGTATTGCAATGCCCCCTTCCATCATGACATCTAGAACGTCCCTCTGTTCAGAGTCATCTGAAATAAGTCATATGTTTATATTCGTATGCACAATCTCCATGATACAATGACATGTGTGCAACACATCAACAATATGATATGTGTATGTTCCTTTTCTAGTATTTTTTGATGAGTTGACCTATGTGGATCTCCTAGAATATCTGGTGTATAAGGATGTGATACCCTGAAATACCATTGTATATAGTCGTGTATAATGTTAGAACAAGATTTGTTCATGACATATTTCTTGAGTTTTAATGATAACAAAGTTTTAAAAAAATAATGATTTATTTGATGTGTGTTACATGTGTGCAGGTTCTAAATACTTGTAAATATTATAGTCAGAATCTGTTTTACGTTCGTACACTTTGGGAGTTGTTGAATTGCTAGTTTTTGGTGGTGCAAAATATGAAAAATACTCTCTAAGTAGTGTCTGGCATAGACTCTAAAGCTGAAGGTCTCAGCATGAGAAAAAGCAACATTATTATCTCTACATTTGGTGAAAGTAAATTGCCTTCTAGTGATCATTTAGAGTTAGTGATAAAGCTGAAGCTATTCGTAATGCAGAAAGCAAGCTGCATTGTAAAATTAATTTGTCAGCTAGAGTCCTAGTTCACAAGGTTTAAGTGATGTTGCTCCAAAAGATCTGCCGAAATCAGCTCATTAGAAGATATTAGAGGAGGAGCATACTCAACTAGATTATATTGTTGATGTCTTACCTAGGTGTCATCGCATAGTGGAGATTGTGCGAGCAGGCAATGACGAGGGTATCTTCTCTAATGGGTTTGGTGTCAGGTGAGTCCTAGATGCCATCATGACAGAGGAATAGGAGAATTATTGTACCGAAAACATCGTCAGAGGACAAGGGAGATTGATGGCAAAGGAGGTAGACGGGGCAGAGAAGGTAGATGAGAGGTTGTTACACACGCACACTAGTAGTCTCTTATTATTATGTTGTAGTACTATGGTATGTACTTTATTTTGATGGTCTTACTACATTATTGAACTCAATTGTACGTCATTTTTGCCATATATTGTTATTTTAATTTTGTATGGCATTTTGGTCCATCTGAAATTATGCACGTCTATTTTTTTTTTTATTTTAGGATCGTACGTTATACTTCATTCGTACACAAATAAACAACATATAACGTAAAATACTTGTTTTGATACATTTTGGAGAAGTGTCTCCGAAATATTCACGGAGATCCATCTCTAATACAATTCAAACGTAAATGACTTTTGAGTGGGATGTATTGAATATTTTAAATTGTTTTAGAGATGCATCTCCAAAATATTTTAACATTTATTCAAAAATAAGTGTGTCCGAAGATATATTTCTAAAATTTATAGACATTTAAATAATTTGCAACAAAGAAGTATTTAGAATGCTTTAAAAAATTCTCAAAATATTTCCTCTATTCTTAATTAGGAAGCTTTACCCCATACCCCTACACTTGTACCCACACCCCTACATTAAAAAATATTGGACCAAAATACCCTTGTTTAAATATCTATAATTTTGAAAATTTTTCATTTTTCCTTCATTCCCAAACACAAAGACATCCGGAAGCTCTCTTTCTTTTAACAAACCGGAAGACTTCAACCAAGACATCCGGAAGTCATTTTTTAACAAATACGTACCGGAACACTACAAGTAAGTCATCCGGTTTGTAACTTTTTTTTCATCTTCACCGGAAGACTTAACGAATGTCTTCCGGTTTGTAAATTTATTGATTTTGTCTTCCGGAACTCTTTGCTAAAGACTTCCGGTACACGCGATGAATCATTTCTTCACCGGAACTCTTATTAAAAGACATCCGGTACATATAACAACTATTTGTCTCACCGGAACACAATCATGAAGAGTTCCGGTGTGTTTTTTTTTTTAATTTTTTTTTTAATTTTTTTTTACGTATTTATTTTTTTTTTACTTATTTAAGTTTTTTTTTTACTTATTTAAGTTTTTTTTCTACTTATTTAATTTTTTTCTACTTATTTAATTTTTTTTCTACTTATTTATTTATTTATTTTTTTTCTACTTATTTATTTATTTATGTTTTAATTTTTAATTTTTTTTTTCAGTGGTGCGCACACGAGGCAGAGATGGTAGGATCCCTCATGGAGTAGGACGGGGTGAGTCATCGAGAATGGCGGAAGAAGAGCATTTTGATGCATCTGCATCTGCATCAGCATCCGCATCCGAGCCGGTTGGATATCCAGGAGGACCGTCTGATACATCTCTGTTAGTTAAATACGAACAGCATATTGCAAACCGTATATGGTTCGGTCAGGTAAGAAAACGAAAATTATTTAATATTCAATAGAATTCAAATTTTTAATTGTTTTAATTGTTTTCAGGAGAGAGGGTCGAAAAAAGAGTTAAAGGTAGCGGGGCATGGATTGAAGTTGATGCAGAGGGTTCCACTACAGCTACCCAGAGAGATGGAGGGCTGGATATCTAGGTCTGGTCTAGCTTCACTTCAGAGAACTAGTTTAACAAAGATAGACACAAACCTAGTTTCAGCATTTGTAGAGAGATGGCATCTAGAGACATCTTCATTTCACATGCCGTTTGGTGAGATGACGATTACTCTAGATGACGTTTCTTGTCTGCTTCACTTGCCCATCAGGGGAGTCTTCTGGAGTCCTCAAGATATTAGTGAAGCACTTGCTGTTGAGTGGGCTGTTCA